GTGTTGTATAAACAAAATGGTGACGTAATTTCCGTCACGAAAACCGATTTTCGAAAAATAAAAAATGCAGTTGCAACGCCAGCAGGCTGTCAGGTACTCATTAAAAAATGGTTTTAAAAAATCGATTATTTTGTGTTTATCAGTAGAAACACACCTTAAGAGTACCTACATTAGAAGAAATAAATTGGACATGCTTGGGAATTCTTTTTGGTAGGAAAAAAAATTTATGCAAAGTTGTGACATTGAGTGCACATGGGCAGTTATCCCTGAATCTCAGTCTCTTACAATGGAGTCTTCTCTTTTCAGTTAAATGTGCATTGCTTACTGTATTGGTGTATAAAATACTCTAAAAATCTACAAACAGTATAAAATAATCTTTTGACTCATACATAAGTGATGAATTTTTTATTAAGTTCAAGATTCACAAATGTCACCAGTATTTTTTTTAGTAAATGTAATTAGGTATTTAAGTGAAGTTTATTTAAATGCATATTCATTTTTCATTTATTCCAATCTGTATTTTTAAAATGTATACTTTGTGTTTTTTAGGGGCAAGGATGCAAAAGCCAGGGAATACTTTGAAAAGCAATTTCCTGAAATTCGGAAACAGAGGGAGCAACAAGAACGTTTTTCAAGGTAGCCACTTAAAAAAAAACACCTCCAAAAATGACTTTTTATCCAGTTGTAAAATTCACAGTATGTCAAAACCTGTAGGCGTATACTTATTGCACTATTTATGGGTTGTTTTTTTATTATGCAATATTCTCTTATATTTATTTAATTCTATTTAGTTTTGGTTGTTATTTTTGTTTGTCACTTGTTTAACTATAATGCATAACATTTGCAGAGCTAGAAAAAATAGCCAAAAAATAACAATATTCAAATATATAACATTGACAAGAGTTTTTTTTATGATATTTTACAGAGCAGGAAGCAGGAGCACTTGGGGAAACATTGCCAGGAGTGATGCTGAACTTGCTGAAATTGTTGATGGTTTAAATGAAGCAGAGGCAAACGATAGGCATATTAGAAGCCTTGCTGTTGTACCTCCAATGCTTTTTGATGATCATCAACGTAGGATTAAATTCATCAATAAAAATGGTACTGCTTGCAATATATTTTGAACACATTGTTATCACTTAACAGTTCTAAATATCATGTAAATAACTTTTGTTAAGTATCTTTTTTAATGAAATGTTTTTAAAATCTTACTGTTTAATAAATATTTTGTCCATAACATGATTTTTAGTAGGCATGTGTAATAATCATAATTATTTTTATGTTTTCTTTTATTTTATTTTAGATAATATAAATGTTTGTGCTTTGATTCAGAAAACAAATTCCAAATGTGTTTATTCAATATGACAAATAATTTGAATTGGAATGAAAAGAAAATTAATTTAACCATTTCAATGTTGCCGTTTCCTGCAGGCATAGTGGAAGACCCAATGAAAGAACATAAAGAAAAACTGTTATACAACACATGGTCTGATGAAGAAAAAGAAATATTCAAGGATAAATTCTTGCAGCATCCCAAGAACTTCCTCATCATTGCCTCATTTTTAGAAAAGAAGGTAAATGGATGGCGATATTTCAATAACAGAAGTTCTATATTTGTCTTTTCGAAGATAATTAATATGTGATAAGCTAACAAAATGAGTTTCTACAGGCTCCTGCTCTCTTTATTTCCAGGATTTGTAATGATTTTTTTCTTTTTTCCCACCATATTTTAAAAATCCTTCTCCCACACAAAAATTTAAATTGTTTCCTAGTTCATGTTTCATTTATGAGGTCTTTGTATCAATTTTTAGAATCTAATATCATGTGATCTTGATGTATTTCAGAGTGTTGCTGACTGCGTTCTGCATTATTATCAAACCAAGAAAAAAGACAATTACAAATTAATCCTTCGGAAAAACCAAGCTAAGAAAAGTCGTGGAAGTAGGTTTCCACCCAAGACAAGTATTCCTCGAAATCAGGATGATGAAGACAGAGAGGATAAGGATGAAGATCCGAAACAACCACCAACGTAAGTATTACCTGCTAAACAAACTCACTTACAATGTAAGTACAAGCTAAGTAGAGAAACCACCAATGCAAGTACAACATGCTAAGCAAAGCAAAAATACAATGCGAGTACAACATGCTAAAACAAAGCAATGAGCAACACATATGTAGCTTTCTCATGATTACACACATTATTTATTTTTATACTCAACATTAAAAAGAGGTATATAATTTTAAGTATTGATTAAATCCACCCTTTACCCAGGTTTCATTAATGTATTGACATGTTACAATATACATAAATTTGCTAGGACAGTTCAAGATTCAATATAATTAGCCTAAACAAGTGTATCTGCACTCTTCCATACTACATAAGAAATTTCAAAATATTTGGATAATGTATTACAATCTGTAGAATGCCAAAAATGTTTTAACTTACCTAATTGCATGCATAATGTACCTGGCAAGTATTTCAATTTGATTGATGTGTTTTACTCACAGGAGAAGTAGAACAAAGGAGCGTGAAGAAAATGCTGAAAAGGAAAAGGAAGAAGAAAAGGAGAAAGAAAAAGAGAAAGAGAAGGAGAAGGAAGAAGAAGAATCTAAAGTAAAAGATGAGCAAGTAGAAGCTGAACCAGAGGCAGCAGTTGTAAATAAACCCACAGAAGAAGGTAAGACAGTAACATTAAAAATCAATATTCTTTATATATGTCTCATAATTAGCCTTAGGGAGTTTTTTATAGTTGTTAGACTGTCACAGGAATTGAACCTAGAACTCTGAATTGGATGGCTAAGCTATGCAATTTGACATTAATTAATTTCTTAGTACAAGTGTGACCAGAAACAAACATTGACTAAAACTAAATTTAAACTTCAAATTTGATCATTTAAAATGAGCATTTAAGTTGGAATTAATGAAGTTTCTCCTGGTTGTTTTAATTTTCAAAAATATCAATCTAAGTATAATTATTTCAAAGTTTGAAAATGTTTTATATAATATTTTCTTGTATGCTTTCAGGAGAGGCATTGCAGTGTTCAGTGTGCAAGAATTCGTTAGATGGTAGTTTAAGTAGACCTGTCACCCATAACAACTGTAGTCTCTTTGGTATTGATAAGTTGGAGGTTGTTCCAAATATGAGAGTTTGCAGTAAATGTAGATGCCGGTCAATAAGAAGAAGGTAAGTTAATACTTGCTAGTTTATATATTAACTTGTATAATTCCTACTATTTTCTCTCTTTTTTAAAAATCTGTAACAAACTGTGAGGAATGGTAGGTTATTCATGTATATTATTATATATTGTTACCATAGGTGTCCAATACCAACATGCAAAACACCAAAAAGAAAAGTACGAAAATTGAAACTTCTACCAGCAAAGTGGTCAGAAATTACAGAAGAACAAAGAAAAAGTATAGCTGAAGAAATAGGTAAGTGGCTTGGGTAAGAATGGTCCAGCATTAAAAAGAAATACATTAAACTATCAAGACTAATGCAATTGTGAACTTTTCTGACTGAGTTAAGCAGCAAAGCAAAATGTTTTCTTGTATGACTGACTTATGAAAATTGCTATCAAATTTTTCACTTTACGTCATAAACACATACAAATAAGATACAAATACTATATGTGATAAATGAAGCTAAGTGAAGAGAGTAAATAAGTTAATCGTGGGGTGCAATGATACCTATCGCCTGTAGCCCCATCCCCAACAATCCCCCTCCCCCCGTCAAAAAAAATAATTAAATAAATAGCATCGTTTTTTAGACATTAACTAATTGCATTTGTTTTTTACATTTATGTTCTTATAGGTATAAGTGAAGAGATCCCTAAATGTTGTGCTAATTGTTTCAATCGCATAGCTCGAAAACTTGGGACTGATGGAACTGAAATGGAAATATCAACCACCTCAGAAAAGACATCTGATAATGGTATGTTGAAGTCAGAGTATTTAGCAAAGCTTTAACTAAATTTTCAGGTCATTGTTGTGCTAAATTTTGGTATAGTAGTTTGTCAGTGTTATATTTTGGTATCATGTTTTAATTGTCAATGTTATATTAATTAGATGCAACTGAAGTCTCCTTAAGGTGGACTGAAGATGAGATGGCCACTGCAAAGAAAGGTACCGTCTTCATTTACATTCAACAGCCAGTGACCTTTGACATAGGAAATGGAAATAATTCTCTAAACTGTCGGGCCACACTGTGCCCCCCTGTGCTCTAAACCAACAACTATCTCTAGTGTATCCATAGAAGTATCTAAAATTACATATAAGTTGGGTCCATTTACTGCTAGGGCTTTACAAGTTCTGTTACATGAGCTGCCTAGTTTATTCTGGTCAATTGTTTTTCTTTTTTCTGTTCAGCACTTTAAAGCTAATACAATTATACCTTCCAAATTCAACATTATTTCTATTATTGTTTAAATTATTTTTATAGTTTTTTTTTCTGTTTTGTTGTTATATCAATCTTTATTAGCTAAATGTTTTCTATCTTGAATTTCTAGGTCTGATGCAACATGGCCGGGACTGGACTGCTATTTCTAAATTGGTTGGTTCTAAGACTGAAGCCCAATGTCGCAACTTTTATTCTAACTACAAGAAAAAACTTAATCTTGAAGAAATATTGGAAGAACACCACAGACATAGAGTATGTTCAGTTGGTTTTTAAGTTATTAATATTTTTATGTATGCATTATCTGTGTGCATTATAAATACATACCATTATTATTTATGTAAACTGTATTTTTAAACAGTTGAACACTTATGCTTAAGGACATATAAATGGAATTGCCTATCTTACACCTGATTTTTTACATGTTCTCGTTCTCATTCTCTTTTGTTGAGAGAGATCCCTGCCATTTTAACACTGCACTCCATATTTGAGATTTCAATGGTTTAATATGCTACACTTTCATATTACTTGTCTATAGGTGGACAGCGAGAAGACAGTGTCAGCAGGGAGTGTTGCCACATCTGATGATGAGTCTGATATTGATAGTGATATGGATTGTAGTACAGACACTGCCAGTGCAAGTGAAAGTGAAGACACTTCTTTTCAAAGTAACAATAAACAAATTAATAAAATAGAAAATCCTGAAGGAAAGACTAGTGAGAGTCCAGAAGCAAATGCTGAAGACAAACCACAGAACAATGTAAAAGTAAATGATATCAAGATAGAAGTAAAATCTGAAGAGACAAATGTGGAAGTGGGACCTGTAGATATTGTTAATGTTGATATGAAGCGAGAAGATGACGATTCTAGCGCTACATGTAGCGCTGACGAGGCTCCACATGCTGCAGATCTATTTGACAAAACATGTGAAAGACCTATGGAGAAAGCAAGTGACACTAGCAGAGTGACATCTAGTGCAGATAAACCATTTAGCAATCACAAGCAAGAGGATGCTGTTAAGGCAACGGAGGTTGCGGATCAACCAAGTAGTACAAATACTAGTTATCAGGATAATATGAACAGATTTAATATTAGGGACCTGATCAACTCAGCCATTGATAAGCACCTTGGTAAGTGCTTTATAATATCTTTATAATTTTACTTAAAAGTCCATTTGGTTTATAAAGCAACACTTCTATTGTGGAAGTGGAGAGTTGGTCACTGTTGTATGAGAATGAAATAATTTTTTACAAAATAGTAACTAAGCTAAATTTTTTTGGACATTACTATTAATTTTACATCTGATATTACATCTACATCTAATATTCGGCAAATTCAATTGTGGATATAAAAAAACGTAAAAATATTTACTTCACATCCAACAGCGAGTACACTCGCCACTTACAGGGTGAGAATGATGCTTTATAAATTAATACCCGATTCACACGTACAAAAATCTTACCAAATGTAACCAAAAGTAACATTTTAAGGCACGTGTGAAAGTACCTCCGTGTAATATCCTTGTAAAATTTCGGAATGTCTCGGTAATCTTTACCAGCCTCAGCGAGGCTGGTAAAACTTCTGAGATGTAGCATGGATGGATGTGCGCATGCGCAGGAATTCCAACACAACAACAATCTACTGTGTTTCGCAGGGTTCTTTGAATTTTCTTCTTTCTGCAGACGATTCTGATCCACTAGCAATAGATAGGCCTAGTTTTTCTCAATGATGCATGAATTACCCTTGTTATTGATGTTAATTAGTAATGGTAGAAGAAGATGATACATAATGAACGTCGGGATGGTGTTAGTAATAGTATTATCAAGAGTCGACAGAAACGTCAGAAGCTAGGCCTAGTAGTAGTACAGTAGTACAGCAGTTGTTAAGGCATTTGATTGCTTCGAATGTTTATTGTGATGGTGAGTTCAATAGTCCATCTATGTCAGGGGTACTCAACTAGGCCTAGGCTAGGCCTATATCGCAGTAGAATCGAAAATGATTCATTGAATAAAATTGAATAAATTTTACACGACCTTGGCATTACCTTACAGACGCGTGTGAATGCTATGTTTCGGGAGGAATAACTCGGGAGATGGCTCGATTACAATTTGTTACTTTTAGTTGAATTTAACTTTACGTGTGAATCGGGTATAAGTCTCTTTATGAGGCTTACGGAGTAGAGTTGATTTTTAGTCGTGAGAAAAAACCCTGCTGTGATAGGAATTGAACCCAGGACTCTAAGATGAGAAGGCAAGCATCTTAACCACTGAGGTATTGTACTCCACTTCAAAATGTGCAAAAATACTATGTGTATGTAAATGATCTCCCTGGAATTAGTGGGCAGAGTGGTCTTGAAAACCATCATTTATGCATTGTATAAAGATCTGTCCACACTATCAAATTTTATGTGACAAATGTGTGTGATGTGCCCATATATGGGCATGATGATGTCATATTACACCCAAATATGGCCATAATCACAGTTTTTTTGTCACATAAAATTTGTTAGTGTGGACAAAGCTTAAAAGTAATAATTGTTTCCATGTTTTCCTTTATGGGCTCCGTTCTATTAGAGTGTCTCTAATATTTTGAAATTGTGGGTAATACATTATGACCTGAACACAAATTAAAAAATTCCATATCTATATCAAAATTTACATTTGCTTTGTTCTTTTTCACAGCAAAACCTACCCCAAGCCAATCAAGTGAACCTTCATCAAAAGACCCAATTTCTCTGACAAGTAAAAGCCACATAGCCAAAGACATCAAACCCTCCCACACATTGGTAGCAAACATGGAATCAAAATCTAACCATATCGATAAACGTGAGAGACAAACACCAGATAGACGTACCCCTAACCGGCCAGATTCCAGGGAGTCTGTGGTGAAGATGAGACCTGTATCAAGATCTGAGCATTCTCCTGGGTTTGCATCTCCACATATAATTCATACGTCACAGCATCAACAGAGACATGAACATTATGAGCGCCCTCCACCTGTACATATGGACGATGCACTTGCACGGCAACAGTTTGCATATTATGGTCATGCAGGTTTCCCAGGCTATCCAGGTTATGACTCAGTGTTGGAAAGAGCACATTTATCCTCCACTGCAAACAGTATCGATGCATACAATAGAAACCCTAGAACATTTGTATCTAAGAAGGAATCGCCGTACCCATTAATACCGTCATCTCTGGCTACACAGGATAGAGCGTTATTATTAAGCCAGGCTAGAGCAACGCCGATAGGAATGCCTAAAGCTTCCATGCCACCTCCACCACCTTTGAAGCCTAGTAAATCACCTAAGCCTATTAAGGATGAAAAAGTCTCTCCAACAATGCACATGGCACATGCTGTCCCGGGATCAATTACTCATGGTACACCTAACAACTACCCCAGGTCTTCTCCATCACCGAATAGGTTTGTAAAGTTCTTTTTGTACCATACACTAAAAATCAATCAATCAACCAGTCAAATTAAGGCATTTGCCTCTTTCTATGGCATATTTTTGTTTTGTTCTTTGATACGGATTTTTGTCTGAAATAAATGATTGCTATTGATTGATTGATTGATTTATTTATTTATTTCAATTTACAACTCCTTGTGATGAGTACAAACTGGCATAATTCGGCAGCCTTTTAAATTGCAAGTGTTATAATTAATTGTAATATATTAATAAATTAATACTATTTAGAAAATTTGTGTTAATTTTGAACACAATATTAAAATACTGGTCAACTTGCTGCTGTTGGAAAATTGAATTGATTTACTTTTTGGTATGTGCAGTGCGGAGTGATCTAAAGCATTGACATTGGTACTGTTTAAAGCTGCTCTTCGCCCGGTTTGGTTGGTAGAACCAAGTCTTCTCCGATAAGGACTTAAAATGGAGGCACAGTTTACACATCTGGCTCGTGTACATTTTAAAAACCTATTGCATCTTTTGGAAGTGTAGGGGAGTTGCCCCATACTATGATTCATTTCAGATCCTGCTGTTGTGGAATGATGCGAACATGTAGCTGCTATAATTAACATCTCAACGAGATTTGATTGACAGATAAATGGACAAATCAGCAAGCGTCATTTAGTCACGTGATCAAAAAATTTTTCTCTGGACATTTTAATTTCCGTAGACAGCTGGTTTAAACACGAAACATACGTGAGCCTAGGCCTAGATGTCTGTGCTTGGTTATAGATACCCAGATTTACACGAGCAGTGCGCATCAGTGACTTGGCCTTTGCCGACAACAAGGTTGACTGAATGCGGCTTTTCCCTCTTCCTTTGGGAGCGAAATACAGAGGCTTTTTCAACAATTTCCCCGCCATGTTCTATGAAATAGATTAACACTATGAATATATGATTCATATGCATACCGCCTACCCTGAATTTCTTTCTTAAAGAAGGTTGATAGCAAAGAAAATCTTTGCCAACTCGGTAAGTCTATCTGCCACTGTCTAAGGTTTTCGACTTTGTGGGCGGGGCTTCGCGTCCTTGTCGACATGTCAATTGCCTCTTTATGGTGGCCAGGTAGTCACGGAACACGCCCATTTCGCAATTCAGGAGAGTGGCATGAGTTAGTTAGGGGTTATTCTCCCTTTGCCTTTACCTTTTACTGTATGTTGTAGTGTACTTAATGCTTTGGATTGGATTATTTTGTTGATAAAGGATTTCTAAAGGAACAACTGGAAGATATGATGCCCATATGATGCAGCCTCGTCACCAGCTATCTCCCAACCAGCACGCAGGTGGGTCAATCACACATGGTACACCCATTGGGACAAAGGAGGCAACTGGGATACCAGTAGGCTCCATTACGAGAGGCATACCCATCAAGCAAGAACCAAGAGGTATTTTCAAATATTTAAAGCGTGTAAAACAAATTCATTTTTTCGTTCTTATACTATTATTTTTTCTGCCAAATCGTAAATAGAGATTTTTGTCTAGTTAATTTAGAAATGAAGGTGGAAAACCTTCAAAAATATTAAATTGGAAAAAATTGGTAACTTTTAAAATATAACAGAAAAATTTACTGCCAAAGAACATAGATGAATCCTTTTTAAATTTAGCAAGAGTGTACATTTTCTTTTACTCTCTTGTTTATTATAATTACAAAATTTTTATCAGTAAATATTGATATATTTCATATTTTTATAGGGAACCATTATGGTGGCCATGATGGCCAGCGACATCTGCCAAGTGGGTTTGAACAAGGACCTCATCACAGGGAAGCAAGTGCAAGCATGTATGAAGGCAACTTAAGAGGAGCTCAGCGACGAGACAGCCCTGTTACAAAGACGTTCGATGGAAGAAGTGTCTATGACCCTCATGCAAAAGGTAGTATTGCGTTTCACATTTAATATAGTTCTTGCAGAATATTAGTTCAATTCATGACTATTTACCTGAATTTAATTGAATACACCAAAATTGCCATTGTTCATTTAAATGAACACCCCCCCCCCCCCCAGAAATAGGACTGTCCATGCCAGGCCACAAAGCCAATGCCCAAAATGCTTGTCTTCAATCCATTTTTGCCAACATCTATGTAAAGTATGAATCTACCTGTAGCATAGATTAAAATTTAAAATAAAGAAGAGTACTGACAGAACACAATTTATATTTTATACAATATTATACGATATTGGAGAGGGGTGGAAGGGAGTGTGGTGGGCTACAATATATCCCAGTCATTCATTTGAGATTTGGCGTCATCAAAAGTAGTGCATCTCCACCACTGCACCTGAATTCTTAATTTAGTTAATATGATTATTGTAACAGGAGTGGGAGATGGTCACAGCATGTATGTTCATTATCCACATGTGCCACAAGAAGTGCCACTAGCCACTAGAGGACAGTTTGAAAGCAGCTCAAAAGAAACTCTAGCAGGTTAGTTTAGCATGTACTTTACTCATGCCTGTTTCACTCAGTGTGGAGCATATGTCATCTGTGACCATATGCCACTGTACCCTATTGTTTCTCGCGTTAATCTCTCTGCTTCTGGTTCCAACCTGTGCCAACCTTTCTCTTTTCCATGTATTTGTTGGTCTCCCCACAATCTTTTCACCCTGTTGATTTCAGTATAGAGCATAAAGCCTGTCTTTCTACACTCTTTTAGCCCTGTGGATTCTATTGTAGAGCTGTCTTCCCACCATTGGTGGTGCTAGGATTTCCCCGACGGCAGGGCAATGAAGCCCCCGACAGGCAGGGAAAGAGTTGTACTTTGTACTTCCATTCTAGAGCCTCTCTTCCAGGAGCTGTGTGGATTCCATTGTAGAGCCTGTCTTCCCACATTCTAGAGACCTGTTGATTCCATTGTAGAGCCTGTCTTCCCACATTCTAGAGACCTGTGGATTCCATTGTAGAGCCTGTCTTCCCACATTCCTGGAGCTCTGTGGATTCCATTGTAGAGCCTGTCTTCCCACACTTCTTTAGCCCTGTGGATTCCAGTGTAGAGTTTTTCTAAATGTGTGTCTGTCCTATCCATCCTCGCTCCATACTGTACTGGATTCTTGCTTGGTGGTTAACAAACTTACCTGAGGGTTCCGGTTTCAAATTCTGCCACAAATCATGACATTAATACAGATCTTCCTCATAATCCTGATTATATAATAGAACTATTAGTGTGATATTGAACAGGGGCCAATATAAAAAATGAATTGAATTTGTTTAGTGAAGTAATCATATTGTTTAATATCAAGCTATTTCCTTATGTGATTTCTGTTTCTTTTTAGGAGACTTTCTGACTGCTAAGCAGATGAGGCATTTTCAACCACCAAGTAGTGGTCCCTCTAAAGACCGTCCAGCTTCACCCCCAAGAGCACCCCAAACACCTACCAAGCCTTATTCTCCACTTGAGGCTGCACATTTATCACCACATATGCTGTACCCACACCAGGTAAAACATGTTTTTTCAATTTTGGTCTTGTTTTTGAAAGGTGATTTTGAATATATTCTTCACAAAGAGATTTTATACATGGACAAATTTAAAATATGTAGTCTGTATGTGCAGAGAACAAAAAACAAAATAACTGCTCTTTGCACAAGCGTATATATACTGTGCTATCATGACTCATGGAATATATAATTGATAAACTTATCATTGGGATTCTGCTCGAGCTAAGAAGCTCACAGTTTGACCCAGGAAATTTTTGGATGCTATAAAGACTGCCTCTTGGATGCAACTGACCAGTAAGGGGACATAATGTACTGTAAATATTGTACATTAAGAATTGTCAATAGTTTGGTTCTTCCTTAATATAAAAATACAACTATTTACGTAAGATTGGATTCTGATATTTTCATTGTTTTTTTTCCCCCTTAGGGTGGTTTGATGTATATATCAACAGCATACCTACCCCACATGCCTGCACAGTACATACCAATTTCCCACCCATCTTCCTCCCATGGTCTACCCCCACATCCTCACACTACATTACCACATATTCAGCAACCTCCTGATACTAGGCCTCAACAGGTGCCATCACCAGCCCAGCACCGTGAGATGTATATGGAATACCCTGGTGGAGTACCTAGGCATTGGCCAGGCATGACTCCACATGATCATGCAAGATTAAGCGGCTCTGGAAGGGGTGCTAGTCCAGGGGCACCATCACAAGTTAGAATACCAGTCCACGGCCCACCAATGGGTAGCATCATGCAGGGGACACCAATTCGAGGGCCTAGCATTATGACAGGGACACCGAATCCTGAACTGAAGGCAGCAGCCAAAGTGAGCGCAGATAGTAGTAGCGGTGAGTGAATAATTTTGACTCAATTCTGGTTTTAGTACGTTTACTGTCAACTTACCTTTAGTAGAGGTTTTAATCTATATTAAACTTATTTGGAAATGGAAATTTGAAATATGTATCAATAATTTTACTTCATGATTGTATTTCTGTTATGATAATTTTTAATATTTTGATTAAGTAATAATATAATATCTTATGCATTCACATTGTCCAATATCTTAGCCATTAACAATGAATATTAAATGGATTTTTTATTTTATTGTCCACTTTCCATAATTATTTATTAGTCATTTTTTGTGATTTTGAAACAATGAGCAGCAGTTGCTGGGCAGTTTAGGTTTTTTAAATAAATAAATTATCAATGTATTTATATTCATTTATGCACCCTGTTTAATAGGGAATCGCGGAAACAAGTCTGCTGCAGCCCCTACTGGTACTGAGGCATTCCAAGCTCTCATCATAAGTCGTGCTACTTCATCTGGGGAAGAGAGGCAGAATGAAGGTGGGTAATTTCTTCTCAAATGAATTAAATAATTTTTAATGTGTCTGAATGGCGTGGAGATGTAGCTTGGTGGTTAACACTCTCGCCATCCAATTTGATTTCATAACAAAGCCTTGTAATATTATTTTATTTATTTAAGAGGGCCCCTGAATATCAGCTGGCCTTCTAGGATACGCTGGAAGGATCACCCTTTATAAATATGGATAAAAACAGTTGTACATCGAAAAATTTCAAATACTATTGCTTTTGTTAAAACAAATATCTTTAGTAAAATAGTAAGATAAATAGCTTTTTACTAAAATGGTTAATTAGTACATAGAAATAATCACCATTACCCCTGTTTATCTGTTTATATGTTTACAGATAAGCCATCAGGAACAAAAAGTGTAAAGACAGAAAGAGCAGATGCAAATTCAAGTGAGCCTCACTTCCCACCCCATCATCGGCGCCCAGTTGCCAAGGTTGAGCCATCTACACGGAACCAATCACCTAACAATAAACAGAGGGTTGAGTCTGCCAGGGAAAACAAACCAGACTCTTCATCTGAGGAGAGTTCTTCACAAAGAGACAGGAAAAAGAAAAGTGATTTTTCAGCAATTCTTGCTGCTTTATTTACACATGATAAGCAAAATAAAGACAACAAGGAACCTGGAGAGGATGGATCATCTGGAGGTACACCAATCACAGCTGCTAATTTGATTGAAGTCATTATAAACCGTTCAATCAATCAGCAGCAACCTGATCAGGATGAATTAGAATGTACCAAAAAATCCCGCCCAGAATCTTCCGGCAGTAAAAATAGAGCGGACAATGATAGACCAGCAGTAGGATCTTCAAGTGGAGATGTTAAGAAGCCTTGCACTGCAGTCTCTTGCCCTGATTCTTCTCAAGTGACACTCTCTGAACATATAGAGTCAATTATTTCTCATTGTGCATCTCCGGCTGCATCATCTGATGTAGTTTCGCAAGGCAACTCACCAAATCCATCTTGTCTCAGAGACCTTTCTACAGCTGTGGATACTACCACGGCACCGTCACCCAGTAAAGCTTTATTTGAGGCAAGTTCAAGCACTGGTTCTAAGGAGAATTCAAGAAGTATGAATGAAGCTGAAGCTACATCTACATCACAGATTCCATACAAAGTGAGTCAAATGTCTATGCACTTTACTGAACTCTTGCGTAACACTCTTACCAGCTCATCACCTACTTCAGAAAGTTCACACTCCAGCACCAGGAAAACATCTCCTGGTAGGAGGTTTTTAGGAGACATGCCCCCTAGTGGGTGTTTAACACCTGATAGTCGCACAAATCTAAAACAAGATGGGTTTGGTGGTGGTAGGGGTGTATCTCCTAGCTCATCATCAGCTTTACATAGGCAGGCAGGAAAGTCTCCTGATTGTCCCCTTGTTGAGAGTAGCCAAGATATGGTGCTAAAGACCAGAGCCTTTGGCTCCGACACAGAACCTATTTCACCTAGAAAACATGACAGACCTCCAGAGGGTAATTTACAGCAGGGGAAACCCTCCCATTTATCATCTCCTCGGAGCTATCCAACAGAGATGATGGGTCATGCTTCCTCAACTGGTGGTGGATCTAGGGCAGGCCATTCACCCTCAAGGAAAGAATTAGTCGAGAATCAAGCCAGGACAACAGTTTTTCAGGGTAGAAATTGTAGCCCAACAGCAGACAGCCCTAAACCTAGCTCAGTGTCCACAGTAAGCCCTAGGAGTCCATCTGTTGGGAGTCAAAATCGCTCTCCAGCTAGAACACTTGCTAAGCCTGTAGTTATAAATAATGTTCCTCTGCGGATGAGCACCAACAACTCTAATAACACATTGTCATTTCATTTTGATCTGCAGCAGGCTATGGACCATGTGATTGATGCTCAATTACGACATGACAATAAACAAATAAGAATGGATGAGTATGTCACACGATTGGTAAATGCTGAATTCAGCGGCTCATCCAACAGACAAAATCAGCCTGATAACAGTAGTTCCTCCATGCAGAAGGGTGCTAGTTCTTCAGAGGACATTCGACCAGATACATCCTCTCTGTCAGCTTCTAGACCTTCCATTGGTAATGCCAGAGCTACCTCCGATGCTTATGAATCTGAGGTGTCAAATAGTAAGAAAAGTTCTGTAATAGAAGCTACACCTTCAGGATTGACATTAAGTAAGAACTCAGACAAATTGACTTCTAGCCATAGCCCAGTAACACCTCCAGAGTCATCAACCACTGATGACCCAGGTCAGCCTCGCTTTCCAAGTTCCTCCCAGGTTAACTATCAAGTACCAAATCAGTTTCGCTATTCTGCATTGTCTATTTTAAATATTGGGGGTACACAGCCAGGGATAGCCCATCCTATGCCACATCAGAATCAATCTCTTCATGTACCTCCTACACACCCAATCCAAACTAGTAGCCCCTCTCCTGGACCTGGTGTAGTTAAACAAGTGACTGGTTATCGTGATAAAGAACCCCAACCGTTACTTTCCTCCAAGTATGAAACTCTATCGGACAGTGATTAAAAACTTAAATCTGTAAAGTTACCACATTAGTACAGTATAATGTTCTAGTAGATGTTTGTAATGTAGATATTTTAAGTTGTATCCTACAGTGGGCCCTTTATATAAGATATAAGATATTTTAAAAATCTGTTAACACCCTTTAGTTGTTACTTCTTATGTTGATATATTTTGTTTACATTAAATTTCATAATTATGCTGACTATTCAATTTCCCAATGTATACTGCTTATGTAAGTCTTTAAGCTTATTATATCTTTGGGATTTGTATAATTTGCAATTTAAAGAAAAGTTGCCCATGAAAATTGTTCTACGTCATAAGAGTAGTATATGAAGATTAGTATTGTAAACATTCTTTGTAGAATTTGTTTCATGATTAGAGTAAAAACATTTCATCTGGATAAATGAGAATTCAATAATTTTGAATATATCAATTCTGTACTGACACATTTTGAGTATCACAATTACCCTTTGACATTTACTTTTTGACATTAATTTTGTGTGTGAGGTATGTATTTGTACTCTTTCTTTGTTAATCTTAAATATATATATGATAGCAAAGAGTTGGGTGTCTTGAACTGGGCACTCACTGCATCGTACAACGGTCATACGACCTGAACGGATCGTCATTAAAAATTATCCATTACATGCGTGGTGTTGAATTCCTCATAGAATCGCGTTGGCCGCAAACCTTTGGGCGCAGTTAATGTCCGGCTTAACATTGAAAATATGATAATTTAAACGACTTTACTACCAAGTAAGTACTGGGATTTACAATTGTAACATAGCTAATGTATGTTTACTATGTAATGGGCTTCACCTTTAAATTGTCCTTTTGGGATTTACCACAGAAGATTGGAAAAGAAAAATCATAGAAATGACTGCTTCTGAGTCATTGTAAAATAGTGAAAGTATGTTAATTATATGATGGTTTCACTCCAAAGTCATCCTGTAGGGATCTGCTATTACAGAAAAAGAATGTGATGTATGATAAAGATGAGGTAGGTTGATAATGTTGGACATTTAGATACTTGTATTGATTATACTGTAGGTGCTTAACTGATTCAGATGTGCAGGGTGTTACTCATGTCTTTAGACAGTTGTTAATGTGTAAAATAAATCTGTATATAAGTAATGTTTATATCATGTATAAGGTAACCATTTCCTACAATTATAAAAAAAAAAATGAAATGCTTAAACATATTGAAAATTCAAAGTTTATTTTGCATCGCATGAAAATGTGACATTAATCCTCTATAGATATTTTGTTTCTCATATGTGAGATCTTGCACTTAAGTGGCAACTGTTTGCTTCTAAATCAAGTGTTTCTTTTAGTTTAAAGCGAGATCTTGGAATATTTTAGCAACTGTTAACTACAGTGTTTTTTACACTAGTTAAGCAAATGTTATACCAAGTATTTCCTTTAGTGTAAACTAAGATCTTGGACTGTTGAACCAAGTGTTTCATTGCAGCAGTACATTTTTAGTCAATTTTGTTGTTGCTGAAGCATGCACCTCAGGAGTTTACATGTTTTGTAACTTGCTGTTATATGTAATGCATATGTTGAATAAAACATCACATTTGACATAATCTTTATACTTTGTACTTTATTACTTGTTTACTTGATAGTAGAGACTCTTGAAACATCTTGCCATTAAAGTTCATAATATGGATTGTAGAGTTTAGGGTGGTTTTTGTGAGCTTTTGCAAGTGAAGTTTTAAACTGATTTATAGATTTAGCAATTAAAACTAAATTTGGTAGTGATTTCCATTCATTTATTGAGCACACAGAAAAAGCATGTCTGTGAACCTCAGATCTGAATAAAGTAGGCCTGATGTAAGTACTTCTATCCTAAAAATATAGGATCCTCCAACACTCAGTGTTTGATCCAGAATTTTTGTGCTGGTTAATGAAAGTGGCAAGTGTCCTATTGTGGGCATAGGATAGTTGGTTGGGGTGGGCTGTATTTGAGGGAAATGTAATTTACAGTGGAGGGTTGCTAGTGATTCCTTGACTGCAATCAGGAGAGGGAGTGGGAGGTAGGTTGCTGCAGAATTTGAAAAGGAAAAATCTAATGGATGAGGCCAACAAAACAGTTTTTTTGCAATTTGTGGGGTTGCCATTCTCATGATCAGTCATGGTGCTAAGATTTGCTTGACAGGATCTGACCAATGGCCCTGGTGAGGGGCCAAGCTAATGCCTAGAAAAACTTCGCCAGTTTTAGCAAGGGGATTTAGCATGTATGTGTTGTCCAGGCCAACAGGATATTTAAAGTCATTGTCCTCTCTAGTGCTGCTTTAAAAAAAAAATCAACAGAGGTTAAATTGTTTAATGGTGCATCACGGATTGTATGTTGATAGGTAGTATTTCCTTATATTTGTATATTTGTAATTCCTCTGCATCAAAACAACTCCACCAATACAAATCAGATTTTGAACAAATGACAACACTTTATTGATTTGTTTAATAATGCATGTTAAAATTTGCATAGCTCACTCTTGTTACACAAAGAGTATGCTGTAGATAGATTCTACCTGGTTACTGGAGGATAAAAATGCTTTTCATTAGCCAAGTAATGCTGGATAAAGAAATAATTTTAAACAAATTATATACTTTTAAGAAAAATATCCATAATTCGTAGATTGTGTTAGTTTGTGAAATCAAAAAAGCGCATCAAAATACACGCTGTTGTTAAGGACTTTTTGTGTGGTAAAGAATACAAAATTGCTTGACAACCAATACACGCTCATTTCGACGTGCTACTGTGATTTCACAAACTAACACAATCTATTTTGATTGTGTTAGTTTGTGGTGCGAGCGACCAATCAGCTTAAAATGGCGTCAATACTGACATACATAACTGTCCTGACATCTACCTATTTTATATCTTATCACAGCAGTTTTAATCATATTGTGTTCATTGCCAGTGGACACAATTCCAACAATATACAGTATCCTATAATTCTAAAGCTTTGTCCACACTATCTAATTTTCTTTGACCAAAAACTGTTGCATGTCTATAATCACGATGTGAAGTCATGACCATATTTTTGGCATGTCACGTTTTTGTCAAATATAATTTGATAGACTGAAACTAATATTACAGACTAGAGTATTGATATTAGAAATGTCTGCCTCTGACTTGCGTTCAATTGTAATGTCATGCTCACTGGTTTTCGATGATAAGCATATGTTTTAGGGTTATTTTTCATTCTCCAAATTCTTATTATTGAAGTAAATTTGCAATCAAAAATTTGGAACTTAATGTTGCTATTTAAATCTTTATCTTAATATTACAGTATACTGACATAGACTATTCAATGCGTTCATCTCCTTCCTCCACGTCTTTTAAACTGAGTACTTCAACACGACCTTTGCCCTTTGTCCCTGACCTCACCAGCTCTTCAATATCTTTGTAGCAACCAGGATCAACCAGACATACCTGCATTGGTATACAAATTAAAACATATTTTTAACTTGACTCGCAGCATTGAATTACATCAACAACACTGTCTGAAACTGCCTTTTGTACTTTTTATCTCTTGACATTTTCATTTTATTGAGATGGGAATAAAAAAAAACGGCATGGATTGAATTACACTTAACGGAAATTAAATTAAACATATGTTAATATTCATTTTATCCATGTTCAAGTTCTGGGTGGGATGTATCATATAAGATTATCAAGATTCAACATCAGCCTTGTATACTACTGTATACTATATTTATTTGCAGCAATTTTTACTAATTAGGTTTTTATTGCTCCTTCAATTATTCTATCAATCCTGGCTTTATTAATATACAAATACTGATGTTTATGAGTGAAATGGGAAGAATATTTTCATGAGTTGAATGGAACAATCTCAACGAATGAAAATATTCTTTCCATTGCACAAATACAAAATATTGATTATTGGTTTTGAAATACACCTAAAATAGATCCTTTCATTTGATACAGTACTTTATTTTTTTAAATTATCTCTACCTTCTTCTGAATGGAAAAGAACCTATCGAAACATTGCATTAAGTAGAGGCGTTCAATGGGACAAAATGAATGGATCAAAAAATGCATGGATGGAACTAAATTTTCGTGAGTGACAAAATGGTGTAAATTTACCAATGTCACATGATACCAAATCCACAAGGATCTGTTTAGGTGTTTTATAAAGGCAGATAAATTACCATACTTTAAAGGTTGCAAATGATTAACAAAGATTCAATATTTGTCTTACCAATTCCAATTCTTCTTCAAACTCTTCAGATTCCACAGTTGATATCATTGGTGTTAATCTTTCTTTGATTTTCTTTGCTTCTCTGCTTGGAATACTAATCCGTAACCTCATTTGAGCTCTTGCTATTTCAAAGTTTTCGGTCTCTTTCAGTTTTTTAATGACCTCCAAAGCCTAAAGTGTGATGAACACAAATAGAAAATTTCCCTGTTATAGTGCTGATATGGATTCAACTATAACACAAAAGTTTGTTAGGAACAAAAAATATAACTAGTATCCATGATGTAATCCTACCAACATCCTATTGTACACACAATACCTGTACAAACTATTACAATGAATAAGAAAGGCAATTTTCAATTTTCACATAGATGGAATAAAAAGAACATTAAAAAGACAAGGTAAAAATTATTTTTTCACATACCGTAAAACCTCAAATTGAAGTCCAATGGGCTTAATCTTGAGAAGAAGCCCAACTCGAATTGAAGCCGCCTTTTTCAGTTTTAAAAATTAGCCTCGAAAAGAAGCCATTTCCAGAGTGTACTGCGTACTTTAAGGTGCACATGGGCCCTAATGCACACGGGACTAACGGCTTAAATGTCTCACCCAAAAGACGGTGCGCTATTGTAACTTGTATTTCAGCCCTCAAGCTGAAACACAAGGAGAGGCAGCGATGGGAATTGAACCAGGGACCTAGAGATCTCCACGGTTCAGCGCAAACACAGCGGCTACCACCAGATTAGCCGACTGAGCTAAGCTGCTCTCTCAATGAAAAATGATATCACTTGCCTGTTGCTTGGCATTTCTTGTAGGTTTGACTGCAAAATGCACGTCTTTCATTGCCCTCTCTATAATGCCAACAGTGTATGGTCGCTTTGTTTCTGGATTGATACACTTATCAGCGACAATTGTTGCAATATCTCGAAACATCGACTCTAGCTGCTGATGGCGCTCTTTTTCTGATACTTGTAATTCCCCTTTAGCAAGAATCTGAAGAGAATTATTGCTTTTTTAGTATGCATTAATACCACATACTACACAGCTATATTATTGAAACTCAATCAACTCCTTATATCTTGATTGTATTTATATTTTTAAAATATCTATTTTTATACCTAATTTATATTTAATGGATATTCTACTTTAATCATAAATAATTTACCTTAATGCAAATTTCTGTGGAATCTTCAGTAGAAAATGCTCGTTGGAGATCTTCCTTCTTTGCAACTTGGCCTTTGGATACATTAGTGAATATGGTGTGGGTTTGTAAAACTTCATCAATATCTTTTTCACTAAATATTGATAAAAATATTGATGAAAAAAATATATATTATATATATATATATATAT